CCTAAACCCTAAACCCTTTAAGGATCACCGGCTCTGGCTCCTCCTGGAGGCTCCGGCTCCGGCTCGCTGCGGCGAGCGTCGACTCCAAAGAGGCCTCCGCGGCCTGGCAAAAGTTGTTGTTTTTTTTTATTATTTTTTATTGTTTTGATTTTTTGTTTTTGTTTTTTGTTTTTTGTTTTGAGTTTTTGTGTTTGTTTTTGTGTTTAGTGTTTTTTGTTTTGATTTGTTTTGTTTGTTTTTGTTTGTTTTGATTTTTTTTTTGGGAGGGGGGGTGGGGTGTGGAGGGTTTAGGGTTTAGGTTTAGGAGTTTAGGGGTTTAGGGTTTAGAGGTTTAGGGTTTAGGAGTTTGGGGGTTTAGGGGTTTAGGAGTGTAAGGGTTTAGGGTTTAGGTTGTTTAGGAGTTTCGGGGAGTTTGGGGGTTTCGGGGTTTAAGGTTTCAGGGCTTAGGGTTTAGGGCGTAGGAGTTTCGGAGTTTAGGGTTTAGGAGTTTCGGAGTGGAGGGTTTAAGGTTTTAGGGGTTGGGTTTAAGTAAGGTTTCATTGGGTTTCATCGAGGTTTAGCTAGGGCTTAATTTCATGCTTAGGGTTTCATTCGGATTCTGGGTTAAGAGCTTCGGTTTACTGTAATCGGGGTTAAAGCTTACATGGTTTAGGGCTCCTCATAAGGAGTATACCTTAACATCACAATACAAAGTGCCCCTGGAATTTAAGTACTACCATTGATACCACTGCGAATACTTTCAATACTGCTCCGGCCGATATTGCTGCTGCTATTAAGCTCTTGGCTTCACTTTTCCTGGGGTTCAGGTGCTCAAATTCCCCCTAAACCCTATAAACCTTAAACCCTAAACCTTGAACCCTAAACCCGAAAAGTCGGGAAGGCTTGGCCGTGGCCCTGGAAAACATCAACTACGAAGTCCTTGATGGCATAAGAGTTCAGGGTTTAGGACGACTTATCCCAATACACATATGGCTGCTGCTAACCGTAGCATCAGGAACCGCATTCTACGATGAACCTCAGCTTCGCCATTACCGTCATCATGACTCTTTCAACTCTCAGATTAGATCACTGTTGTTGCTTGGATCGGACTAAGCTTCGGTGTGGGGGGGGGGGGCGCTAGCAGTGGGCTGAACGACGAAGCCGCTCGTGGTGTTGGGATTGGTGGCGGGGCAGGCACCTTGTGCCTGGTGTCTGGTGCATTCGTCGCCCATGTCGGCAGCCGCACATCCTCGAGCAGGTAACCATGAAGTAGCCTGAGAGCTTTTCCAGCTTGAAACGGGTCTGGCAGTTGCAGAAGATATCGGCACCCATAACTTCACGAAGATCCGCGTATGAGAATTGAACCTGGCAGATGATCACATGTCACAGATTGCACCTACAAGAAACATGGAATATGCCAAAGCCCAGTATGACAATACTTTGGCCAAGCATCACATCTTATCCTAAACCCTAAACCCTAAATCTTGAACCCTAAACCCTGAACCCTAAACCCGAAACCCTAAACCCGAAACCCTAAACCCTAAATCTTGAACCCTAAACCCTGAACCCTAAACCCGAAACCCTAAACCCTAAACCCGAGCCTGAAACTCGGTCGGCACCGGAAACCTGAAACCCGAGCTGCTGAGCGGTCATGTCAGGGCCTTAATAATTAGAATAGGGTTTTGGGGCATAGGGGTTTTAGGGTTTAGGGTTTAGGGTTTTAGGGCTTCCTTTAAAGGGTTCCTTAAAGGGTTCTATAAGGGCTACTATAAGGTTTAGGGTACAGGGGCCTTAATAATTAGAATAGGGTTTGGGGGCCCATTCTACTCTAACTGTAATAAGGAACCCCCCAAAATGGTATAGGCAACTATGAAGGCCCCATGGTATAGGCAACTCTGAAGGCCCCTACAGTAAACTATAAACTCTGCAACCCACTACCCTCCACGCTCCCGAAGAACACTCAAAAAGATACCTTCAAACACCCTAAACTCCAAACAACCCCTACGAACCCTCCCAAAACACCTGAACCCTAAACCCTAGACCCTAAACCCTAGATCCCCAAACCCTAAACGTAAACATCTAGCATGCTCGCACCTCCACCTGCTGCTTCGCCGATGCAGCGCTCGACAGCTCCATCTTGAGGTGGGAGATGACCTCCTATGCAAAGCGTCTTTCATCGATTTAGGGCCTTAGGGCTTAGGGTTTAGGTTTTCGTAGAAGTCATAGATTCAGGGCCTTGGGGTTTAGGGTGTAGGGTTTCGTAGAAGTCATAGATTTAGGGCCTTAGGGTTTAGGATTTAGGGTTTCATAGAAGATTCAGGCTTTAGGATTCAGGGTTCGGGTGCTGTAGGGTTTTGGGGTACCGAAGGATTTATGTGCGCTTTCAGGGGTGCTTTGGGTGCTTAGCAGGGGGATCGGCTCAGTCAAGCCTGACAAAAGGGGCTCGACAATACGTATAGGGTTCATTGTACCACTTCTCTAAGGCCCCTGTCCGAGAAGCCCCAGCAAAACTCTTGAAGCTGTCATAATAACGCTTTCAAGGAACCACTTCCAGGTCTGCATACTCGGTAAGAAAAATCCAACTAACGTCCCTATATATTTCATACTGCCACCGTCTCATACTGCTACAGTCTATCGCAAAACCACCATTGAGAGTACTCAAACACCATTTCCAAGTATTCAAGCGCCTATGATACACCCCTGCATGTTTGCCCCCGAAGCAGGAGACCCTTCACAACTCTGTACAAGCTGTCGTAACCTGCATTAGTAGAACCATACAAGTCCCGGTGAAACCCTGCCAGCGTACAACCCAACACAAACCCGTACAGCAACCATAGAGGCTCGAAGCCAATTATACGACCCCAAAGCCAACTCGCAAAAAAAAACGCGTACTGTAGGGGCCTTAATAACTAAAATAGGGCTTCGGGCCCCTTTATACTATACGTATAATATGGAGCCCTCAGGTAGGTATTTAGGCTTCTATACTAAACAACCCTATCGAAACGCCTTTGCGGGAACCCTGAAAATTCCTTCGAAGGAACCCCTGTCAGAGTCCAAAAAAAATGCATAAAACCCGAAACCCTAAACCCCGAGAAACCCGAACCCTAAACCCCTTCAAGTATCCTTTAACGACACCCTTAAACCCTAAACCGAACCAAACCCTAAACCCCTTCAGAAAGTCCTATAAACTTTAAACTCTAACGGAAGGAACCCCTATCAGAGTCCTATAAACTGCATTAAAGGAAACCCTAAACTCCTAAACCCTAAAACCCCAAGAAACCCGAACCCTAAACCCCTTCAAGTATCCATAAACCCTAAACCCCTAAAACCTAGACCCTAAACCCTAAACCTTACACCCTAAACCCTAAACCCTGAACCCTAAATCCCTGAACCCTTTAAAGAGACCTCTAACCCCCAAACCCCCAAACCCCAAGG